AAAATTTTCCCGCCGTCCCGTCAGTCGATCAAGGGGTAATGCGTTCTAGAAAGCATAGTACAATTCTGAATGTGCCAGGTTTTACGATTCGTAAAATTTTACCTGGACTTGATTAACGTTTACTTGTGCTTTAATTCACTTGATAGCTGAAATGGCGAACGTCGAACAATGGTTGTTGATTGGTTCAAACAAAAATCAAATTTTGCATAAAATGGTTGTAATAATTTTCGACCTCAGTGTGCGTGAAATTGTAGATCTTTTTGCTGATTGAGTATCTTCTTTAGCCCTCCGTACGTAAAACGCACAACAACGGTCGAAAGCACAAAGAAAATGTCAGAATGTTCTATCAACAGTGGATGGAAGAACAAGCACAAAAATTAGTTGATGCGACAGGTATCGCCTTATTTCATTTTTATTTACGTTTAGTTTCTATATCAGACTGTCTGTGGTTGTTAATTAGTTAATTACTCTCTTAGCGAAATCATGGATAAGCATTCAAAGCTCGGATGGTTTTTTAGCGCAAGCTTTCAAGGAAGGAAAGATTCCTCCAAATCCCTTGGTAGCTTGTGTTAGACCGCCGACGTTAACGGTAATGCCGCCGCCCGTCGTATGTCCACCCGTTGGAGCTGGAGGTAATTTGTATGCTTTTGAATTTGTCTGTGTTTGTTAGTGAAGGTTGTTGCTTCGATGTTCTTTCTACACAAATCATTCTGTGAAAGAGCTTTTACGAATTTGCTTGGTGGATCCTTTTGTCAAAGTCACGAGAAAGACGGTTAGAACATTGGCTGGTCAGATTGCTTGAATACATTGAACATCCGACCTTTTTGCCGCTTGCAGTTAAATCAGAACCGTCCATTTTCTGCAGCAAATAATTTGTTAAAAATTATGATCATTTAAATGTAGTCTTCAATCGGCCACCTCATTTTGATTTGGCATAGTTTATGAAATGGTCTGTACAAGCAAATTACCATCATTTTCAAAGCTAGGAATTTTATTTCTGCTTCTCAACTTACGTTCTCTTCACTGAAGAACTTTTTCGGCCCGCTTTGCCGCCGCTGTTTTGGCAGACTATGAAAACGTCTAAGCAGTGATGTTTTGACGTTTAACTGTAAAACACTTATTTTCTTTCTCATGTACGACCAATATTTTTTGAAGACAGTTTCATGACACCACTAAAACATATCTTGCGTTTGCTGATTTGTTACATTTAGGACCGCCAATGATGCCCCCAAGACCAGGTCTCCAGGTTCCCGGAATGCCACCGATGCCTTACATTTTACCGCAAGGTACTTTTACGTTTCCTGTTTACAAACATCATGGCATCGCAGTTTTCGTTTAGGTATTCCAAGGCCGTCTATGGTTCCCGTGGCTGGTGTTCCTGTGCCCTCAAGTTCATTGACAGGGAAATAAGTATATTTTTCATTTTGTGTCCATTACTTTGTGCAGCATGTTGTTTAATTACAAAACGTTTTGCCAGTAAATTTGTTTAACATAAGTCATTCGGCATGTTTTGCACTAAATATATTTGCAGTGCAAATTCTGATATGTTTAAACATTATGGCTATTGATTTCAGGCAAGTTTGCTCATACGCTGCTCGCAATCAGGACATCAGTAAATAAATGAAAAGTGCTTTAAGGTTCACACCTCTTTATCCGCCATATACTGTCTTAATCTTTGCACCAGTAGAGCACGTGGATCAAACTGCTGCCAAACGAAGTAGTTCCTTCGGTTTTCAAATGGTTCATTGCAATCACTGATACAGTTGTTGCATCAAAAGTTCAAAAGGTGGCTACAAAAAATACCTGTGGAAAAAAGAGATTGAGCGCGGCATCCAGATGGCTACACACATTCCTCTTCATCTGTTTGCAAGTCAAATCTGTCAACGCAGAATATTACGTTTTGATTATGAGTCGAGGTTGTCAGTGTGCAATATGATAAATATTTGACGAAACAATGCGAATTATCCTCTTAACAGACTGATATTTCTGTCCGTTGCATCTACCACAGATCATATATTCAAAGTTTCTTTGTTTTAGCCGCTGTTTTCGCGGCGCGGGTTTATAAGTGAGTAGAACATCACTAACGTTTGACCACAAATAGTAAAAGTATAATAGCAGCCGTTAATAACCGTAGACACGTAAGGGGACAACACAAAACGTGAAGATATTTTGTTAGACAGGTTTCGATCAGAAACATAACTTTACCGCATGAGTGAACGTTGCTTCATTAGTTTGAGATGCTATTTGTAACTGTGAGACATAAATCTAGTCTGTTCTGCTGTTCTAACTTAAGCAGCCTTGGGCAGCGATGACAACAACCAGAGCAATATAGTTGAAATGGCATAGACCGACACTTTTGTTTAGAACAATTATAAAACGGCATTACGTTTTCGGCTTTCGAAGTGAAAACTTTTGGCCATAACTTTTTGGCATTAGCAAAACAGTGTCTCCTTTGATATCATCGTAACACACAGAATGAGCAAAAATAAAATGTCAAATCAACTTTGAGCTGTGATCAGCTACCGGAAAATGGTTTGATCAGTCTTGTGGCTAGTGTTTGACGTAGATGATGTCGAGCGCGATGGTCGAATGTTCCTTGTATAGCGGACACAGCATTTTCGTGAAATCCCTTTCCCTTATCTCCGTTTGTTATTGTTGCAACTCATCGAAGCTCCAGTAGGCACCGCAGAACACGCTGTATTCGATCTGTAGCACTATGATGTCCAACCGGTGCATTGGAATTGTCTTGAGCACCGGAATCTCAGAACCTCCGATATCCGACACAATGTATTCTATATGAGTGACGTTCAGGGCCATCATAACGCTTGCCAGAGGGAAGCATCAAACGTTGGTATTTTACACCGGCCGCCACATGTACATGAATAGCTTGCGGGGAATGGTCATATACTGTTCGAGACCCCTATGTCTATGGCGCAGTACATAGTATGCTTCTTCGGCTTAATTGTTCCTTCCAGGCAGCCGCTCAACACTCAAGCCTTACGCTTCTTTTGCAATAGCCGTTGACGGTTGGCATAGTCAGGCTCTACAAGCAGGCCAGTCCAGTTATGGTGCCGTTCGAAGTATAAACTGTTTGAGTAGGTCTCACCGTCTTATGCTCCCGCTTCAACGAAAAAGCCATTCTGCTTTCCCTTCAGTACCTTGTCTCTGAGTAGCGACTGCTTCTTTTGTGAGTAATCCTGGTGGTTCATGTTCAGCAGATTGTATGGTTCAGAACGATCCCCTGGTGGTCGTAGGTAGTAGCTGCGAATGTGAGTGATCAGTCGTTCGTCGTACGCGTCATAGTCGGCGATGAAGTCGTCATCTATTTCCTGCTGATCCTCGTACGACACACCATACATCAGGTTGTTGTAGGCGAAAATAAACGGGATTGTCAAAAGGCATAGAATCATCAAGAACACCAACAGGTCCTTACTCTTCATGCTTGTTGTAGCCCGGCGAACCGTAAGACCATCTGCCTTCCTGAAATTCCACCGCGCGACAGCATCGTCAAGTCTACGAATGCGAACGACTACGACGACGACAGGTTCACCCCATTTGATGGCCAGTGATCGAGCGATTCGAAGTCCTTCGAAAGTACGGCGAATGTCCTTCAACCACTTGCTCGCATTCGACCTCAGAGCCAGTCACATCGCCTGCCTCACGCCAGGGTCCGCAGAGTCGATGTACCATTTTATTGGCGTCGTCCAAAGACATCCATGGCCAGCTGTCACTTGCAAGACCAGACTTGAAACCCATAACGCGCTCTGAATTCGCATACCGGTTTTAGAATTTCGCACTCTCGCCGTATATGGAAAATACTACTGGTTGGAGACGGGGCCTTTGGGATCCTTTTGATCGCAGACCCCAACGGTTTTTACGATATGTACCTTAAGTTTAAGTTCGAATTAGTGCCTTATTCCGCTTGAAATTTCTTCACAAGATGCATCACATTTTAATAAGCACTGCAGACACTAAAATAATTGTCAAATTCATTCATTGAATTAGTTGTAATAAGAACGATGCGTTTCTGGAGCAGACTTGCCTCAGATTTTTCTGTGTCGCAGACTGCCTTATTGTGTGGCATGGGTAGTGTTTCGATTGTCATACGAAAGGCTGGTGGCCCGTCCTCAACCTTTTCAGATAACAGTTAATCTCCTTAATCTTATCTCTTGCTGTATATGTAACAGTGCTCTACAAAGAATAGTCATTTCTGACGTGACACCTCCCATTTAAGTTCATTGTGTATGTAGGCCAGTGCCTTTTATATGCCATTATTCGTATTTCGTTAGAACGATGTCGAGAATCTGTCCAGTTGCAGCAGCCAATATTTAGTTCCAACTGAACATGCTGTTGTTGGAAATGGCAAAATGGAAGTAACTGAACTCTTCAACTTCCTCTACCGTTTCATCTGTTTCTTCACTGTGCCGTGTAACTGTAAGCTTCTGGCTATAATGGTCCATCATTCGTTGCTTGGGAAAACTGTGATGAGACGAAGCCCATATTCCGTGGTAATGTTCATCAGTGAAATATCTGCGTACTGCTGGTCAAGATGTAAAGATGTATAGCCGCACATCTCCAACTGCATCTTCTCTGTAGAATATGGCTCTGTTCTTTCCCAGGACTAGCAGCATTTTGGGGGGTAAAAGCAATGTTGAATACAAGGTGCGATAACATCTCGTTGATACAGTGAACATTTTATCACTACTCAGATAGCTCTCCCTGAAACCTAATAGTGGATTCTGTTCCTGCATAAAGCTCTTCCAGGATGGAAACGATATGTTCAGGTATGGGGTAACATTTTAAGATTTCTAAATAATTGAACCATGGATGAAACGTAGCACAGCATTAAGCGATGACGCTGGGTTCTTCAGCCTTGTGTGGAGGGTGTTACTTCAACCAGTAGAAGGATTATTGTTTTTGTTTTAACTCTTACCGCCTTACCTGCTTAATCATGATTCATGCGATAGACCAGGGCAAGCTTTCTTTTCAGATGCACTGTTGATGCATTGCAGTCTACTCCTCTGGTATGCAGTAGCGTATAGGGGAAAAATTAAACGTAAATGAACTAATTGTAAATTTTCGCAAAAGTACACAATGCACATAATTCTTTTTTTATTGATACATAACGCAATCGATTTGATAACTGGGATCTTTATATTGCCCTTCAGGAGATGATGCCTCATCTCCCGGAGTAAACTCTGAGCGGAGCAAACTTCGCAGAACCGTCACCGGGAACCCAATTCGCCTAGAATGAAGGGCAAACAGCCGTTCTGTCCATGACGCCTGGCACGAGCTGGGAATAGTTAAAACTTTTACGATGGCGGCTGACTACTTTGCACGACTGACGGATGACCGATGGACTTCAGCAGTGACGTATTGATACCCAAGTGGCTACAAGCTCGCAGTTAAAAGACGTCGGCTTAGATGGGAAAAAGGGCAAAATGATTGATG